GGGCTCGTTATGGCGAGCTTGCGAGGCAGGCCCCAGGGCCCAGGTGCTGGCGGAATCGAAGTCGGAGCGCGATCCGCCCTGGAACTCTCAGCCGCAGCCCGAACCTCGGATGTTTCACTGCCCAGCTTAGCCTTGAGCTTTGGACGGCTTGGGGCGAGGCAAAGGCACGAAGAGCCCTCGTCGTCCCAGCTCGAGGTAGACGCGCATTGAAGCCCAGCTTCCATTCATTGTGGCATGCGCCTGCCTTCTCGGCCGCTCGAGAACCTGCAATCGAACTCGAATCCGCGGCCGCGCCGACTCGGACGCGACCGCGGCATCGCGCGCGCGTTCCTGCCACCCAGCGCGCGCGCCAGTCGCGTTCGCCAGCGCTGCAACGGCACCCCCCGACCAACGAAAGCCAACGCGTAGACGAGAACACTGGAGGGCTCACTGCCTAATCTCCGACGGCAGTCGAAGGGCCGGACACCGCAGTGACAAACGTGCCCGCGCCGTCGAGCTGACGAGCGCTCGGCCCGATCGAACACGCCATGCACGCCCTAACAAAGAACCGCGACTGACCTCGAGCCTGAAGCTGCAGGCCCGCCAAACCGCGAAAGCCGATGCCAAGCTAAGACGCACCACCACCAAGATCGCGAATGTCAACTTGGTGACGAGGCTGAGACGCAAGGAGGCGAAGTGTCTGGAAACGACACTGGCACCTCCTGCGCGGGCGCTGGCACCTGTTTCGCGCAACGCCCGAAGAACTCCAGCGCGCCCAGCCCCCCCCCCCCTCCCCATCGCGCGGAATGCCTGCCGCATAGCGACCCCCTCCACGCGCATCTCAGGAACAGCGCTGACGTCGGCGCCCCGACTCCTCGCCGTGGATTTCGCTGCGGAGCCCCAACCGCCGACGCCCCCCGCGCGCGGCGCGCTGGGCCCAGCCCAGCCCCCCAAAAAAAAAAAAGTTGCAGGGGGCGCCCCCCGAACGCGCGCCCCCACCGCGCCAGGGGGGCCACCTCCCTGGCCGCGCGAGGCGGCCTGGCGAATTACCCTCCTGTCGATGCCACCCCAGGGGCGGCGCAAGCCTGAGATGACGCCGAAGACAAGAGTGTCGATCCAGAAGACGCCACTCCCCGCGAGGCGCCTGGCCTCGTCCCAGGGGGGGGGAGGGCGCGCCCCGACCGCACGGGCAAAACTGACCCTTGCGTAGTCCTCCTTAAATCGACACCGCCGGGTGGGTGGGCGACTCCTCGCTCGGCGCCGTCGCAGCCGGAGTTTTCGCGCAAGCGGTGGGCGCCCTGCTGGGCCAGGGCGCGACGCGCATCGGGGGCGGCGCAAGGCCGCAAAGACGACCCCCGACTGAGTGGCCGCACCCGTCGATCGCGGCACCCGCGAGGATCCAGACCCCGCCCCAGGGGGCGCCGTTTCCCCGGCCACGCGGGGCGGCCCAGCGGGGCGGCCCCACGCGGACCCCACCAAACGAAACCCCCCCTGGGGAGCGCCATGCAGGCAGAGACGGCGCCGAGAAGGGGAGGTGCGATCCGGAGGACGCCCATCCCTGCGAAGCGCCTGATCCCGCCGCAGGGGGGGGCCGCGCCCCTGGCAACATGGGGCGGCGCCGAAACTGCCCGGTCTGCGCCGTCGCAGCCGAAGCTCCAATGCGAGCGTTGGAAGCCCCGCTCTCTGGCCGGCGTGGCCCGCAAACGCTGTAGGAAGTAACTGCAAACGAAGTGCCTGCCACCGAGCATGGCCCAGCCCTGGGGGGCACTGGGGCGGTGGGAACCTCGCCCCCCCCGCGTTCTGCGCCGTCGCGGCCGACTCCCTGGCGCGAGCTTAGGTCGCCATGCTCTGCCCCAGAAAGGCGGCCTTCTCAAGCGCGGCGCTGAGCCGCAGCGCTGTCAAATAACATTAAGGGGCCGAACTGGATGGCGCAGACGGCGGCCTTGCCCCTCGGCTCGATGGCCCGCCCAAGCCGAGGGAGACGTGCGCGTCGAAGTAGATGCGCGTCGTCGCCTGCGGCCGTCGAGCGCGCCTGGCTAAGTCGAACCTTCGCATCCGACTGCAACTTGCAACCGGCCGCCTCTTGCCTGACGCGCCCCCCTTGTCGTCGACAGGAACGTCGGCGCCCCATCTGCCGCGGGCTGAGGTGCCGCGGCACCTCCCGTGGCAAACCCACCGGGACCCGCACCTGGTAAACTTGCCCCAGATCCCGACCCTGCCGAGCCTGCCGAAGCCACTGCAGCTCCGACCAGTTGGGAAGGAGCTGGGACTGGGGAATTCAACAGTCATTCGTTCGCGGATGTCCGAGATCTGGTCACGATGCTCCTTGAGCTTCCCCTGCACTGCTCCGCCGTCAACGTCTGAGGGAGAGACGAAACCACTGCCTCATTGCGTTTGTCCTTCTCGGCCATGTCTGATGGACTGATACGCCCAGCATCGCTCACGAAACCACCTCCCAACGACATTGAAGACAGTGGCTCGTCAACGTTGGACGACTGTTGTAATGTTGAGAGGTCAATAGTCGGACCATATGCTTGGCCACCTATTGCTTCCTGTGGCGGAACCACGAAACGAAACAATTCCGCGCGCTCCCTCTCCACCTGCGCAAGATCCGTCGTCGGCTTCTGAAAGACATCTTGCGCGAGTCGAGCTCGGGAGTGAGCTTGGGATGCTTGGTTTGCGCGTTGTCAAAAGCCGCCTGAACCCGCTGGACCTTACTCGCCACCGCCGCCACCCGCCCGCGGGAGCAGCCCCGGGAGGACGCGCGCCACCACGGCCCCTGGCCTCCTCTCGGGTCGGGCGAAATTCCGCCCGACCCGAGAGGAGGGGGTTTCAGAATCAGCTCACGTATGACTGCTGTTCCCGGCGCCTCCCGGCGCCGGAAGCGGCTATGCATCGAGGAATGGGCCCCTCGGGGCTCAAGGTGCTCCGGCGGGGTGCTCAAGGTGCTCCGGGTGCCCCGCGAGAGCAGCCCGGAAGGACGTGCGCCACCACGGCCCCTTCGGGGATGGACAGACCCCCCTTTAGCAAAACGTGGTTTAGTGAAGACGACCCGAGGCCCAAGCCTGGCGGGCGCGGTGCCCTCTCGAGAGCCGAAAACGGACCATTCACTAATCGACGTGTCGGTGGGGCGGGCAGGGCGTTTTGCCGGAGACTGCCGCACCGCTGCTGATCCCGAAGCCTGACACTCGAGACAGCGTCAGTGCTGGAGGGGAGATAGGAGGGGGGGGGCTGGAATCCACACGTGGCCATCTCGCAAAGCACCGCGCGCCTCCCGTTTTTTGTTTTCTTTTGTGTTGTTTGCGGTTGTTTGTCTGTTTTTGCGCTTTGTTTTCTTTTTTTTTTGCTGAAAGCGGCAACAGTTGCATGAGTGCGGCGGAGGTAGCAAGGGCTGGGCCCACGTTTCGGATGGCGGGCCTCTCGCCCCTTAGCGCCAAGGACATGTCCGCGCAGCAGAGACAAGCAGGACAGCAGCCCCTCCTCCCCTTCCCTTCCCCTCCTAGCCTCACCCCCTCCTCCACCTCCTCCTCCTCCACCTCCTCCTCCTCCTCCTCCTCCTCCTTTTCCTCCTCCACCTCCTCCTCCTCCTCCTCCTCCTCCTCCTCCTCCACCTCCTTCTCCTCCTCCTCCTTCTCCGCCTCGCCCTAGCGCAGCGCAACTTCGTCCCTCAAAGTTCGCGGCAGCTTCCGGGGAGGAGGGCGGGTGAGCTTCAGCACGTGGCCCTCGCTCGAGCGCGGCGCACCTCTGCCTCAAACGCCCTGCAGCAGCTGCAAGGATGGGCACGGCGGCTCCTCTTTCCAAACTGTGGCTCTGGCCTGAGTACCGCGCGCTCCTCTGGTCTGGGCCTCGTGGCACCAAGCCGCGGGCGAGGCAACCGAGGGGCACTGCGGGGCCTATGGACGACGCGCACGCTCGTCACGAAGGAGAGCAGCAGGTGTCAGGACTGTAGCGCTGAGATCCTGCGAATCGGGGAGGGACCGAACCCCCTTTCGCAAAACGTGGTTTAGTGAAAACGACCTCGGGTCCAGACCTGGCGGGCGCAGGCGTGGAAAATGCCGGTCACGGCGCCCTCTCGAGAACCGACAACGGACAATTCACTAATCGACGCGTCAGGGTGGGGTTTCTGTCCACCCCCGAGAGAACGTTGCTCTAGAACAACATGGACATGGGAATGACAGGACGCAACAAGCACGTTGATTCGCCGAGTGGAAGCCCCAGAAACGGCTCTGTGACATGTTTGAGCATTATCAGGCTTTGTTTTCGACTCGGCATGTTCCACAATAGCAGTTCCGTGTATGGGGTCTACGCACAAGGAACTTGGAGGACATGTGTACTGCGCGTTGCGTTTACACTGGTCTTCACAAAAAATACGGAACTCCTAAACAAATATTCCACTACGTATACATACTTCCTCCTCCTCCATTGCCGCCTCCTACTCCCCTCCTCCTCCCCCCCTCCACCTCCCTCCCTTCCCTCCCTCCCTCCCTCCCTCCCTCCCTCCCCCACCCCTCCTATTCCTCCCATCCACCAGCACCAGGTGTCCACAACGCCCCTGTTCAGACACTCAGACCGCAAGGTTTGTCATACCAACCGTCACGCGCAGCGCTCCAGGGATGAGAGGCCCCGTGTGCCCCCTCCGACTCGACAGGGCCAACGCCTACCCTCAAGGGCATGGGCAACACACTACAATCCTGCCCCCTTCCTCCTCCTCGCTCTGCCCTCCTCCCGCCTCCTCCCCCCTTCCTTCCCCCCCCCCTCACTTCCTCCTCCCACCCTCCTCCTCCTCTCTTCCCACCTTCCTTCATCCTGCCTCCTCCCTTTTCCGTCTCCTCCTCTTACCTCCTTCCTCCCTCCTCCCTACTACAATCTCCTCCTTTCCTTCCTCATTCCCCTCCTCCTCCTCCTCCTCCTCCTCCTCCTCCTCCTCCTCCTCCTCTTCCGACTTCCGACTTCCGACTTCCGACTTCCGACGACGACGGCCCCCCCGTGGCGGGCGAGCCGCGGCTCGCGGGGGGGGAGGCCTCTGCGCGCCGGGCCTCCTCCTTCTGCCGGCGCTCCTCCTCGCGGCGGCGCTCGGCCTCGCGCCGCTGCGCGGCGTCGGCAGCGCGGGCGCGGGCGCCTGCCGGGTGGGCGCCAGGGGGGCCGGGGTTGGGGGAAGGAGGGGGAGGAGGAGGCGGAGGAGGAGGAGAAGAGGAGTAAGAAGAGGAGGAGCAGGAGGAGGAGGAGGAGGAGGAGAAGGAGGAGGGAGGAGGGGAGGCAGGGGGAGGAGGAGGAGGAGGAGGAGGGGGAGAGTAGAGGAGGAGGAGGAGGAGGAGGAGGAGGAGGCGGAGCAGCAGGAGGAGGAAGAGAAGGAGGATGAGGAAGAAGAGGGGAGGAGGAGGAGGAGGAGGAGAAGGAGGAGGCGAGGCGGGGAGGAGGAGGAAGAGGAGGAGGAGGAAGTGGAGGAGGTGGAGGAGGGAGGAGGAGGAGGAGGAGGAGGGGGAGGCAGGTCGCCGAGAGAGGTGCGGGCGGGGGGCTGGCCCTCGCCGTCCGCCCGCCGCACCCGCGGCACCCCTGCCTCTTGCCATCGTTCGGGCGCCCATTCCCCGTGCACTCGTTCGGCGTCGTGCGTGTTAGTTTGCCCCGATGCTCCAGGAGGCTCCTCGATGGTCCTCGCCGAGAAAATACGCACACGTCTGAAGGATGCCAAGGCCTGGAGCTCCCGGCGCTGCTGGAGAGCCCTGCCCTCCAGCGAGCGCGGGCGCCCACCTGCGTCGGCCGCGGCCGGCGCCCACTGGCGCTGGGAGCGAGCGCGCGCCCAGCAGCCTGCGACAGAGGAGGGGAGCCATGTCGCGGCGGAGGAGGGGCGGCACGCGGAGGGGGCGCAGGCGACGCATCGCGCAGGAGATAGAGGAGAAGAGGTGGGCCGTGGAGGAGGGGCACGAAAAGAATTAAGAAGGCCAGTCTCACTCACCCTCTCTCTCTCTCTCTCGCTAGGCCAGACTGTGGCCGTCTGGCCGGTTGACGTACGGGGAAAAACATGACCTACAGGTCATGTCGCTGCTATGTTAGCGATTCGAAGACGCGGGCGCCGCGGTGCTCTTCGGAGGGGAGGCCTCCGCGAGGCCACCAGGGCGGCTCTCCTCGCTGTCGCCGCCAGCGCCGATGACCTTCCTGAGCCCCATCCAGCTTCGCCAGCCTCTCTTCGAGCATCCCAATCTTCATGGCGATCTCGTCCGCGCTGTCTTCTGCCTCGTTGCTGCAGTCAACCCACCAGCACTCGTCCTTCCGCTGACAGCCGCAGCGGGTCCAGGCACCTGGGTCGCCCGCCTCCCATACTGGCTCGTCGATCTGCACGTCGCAATAGTTCCTCTGGCTGGGCGCGATCACCTCACCACCTCCCTGGTCTTCGCCCCGATGAGGCCGCTGCAGCTCTGGAGCCCATGGAAGACGCCGTTGATCGCCGCCAGCTGGTCCTCGACGATGTGGAGGCACTCCTGCTGCGCCATGTTGCCTTTGCCCGCCTCGGCTTCCAATGCCCTCGTGCGCGCCAGTCTCATCTGGAGCATGGTCTAATTGTCAGCGAATGATATCCGTCTGGATGCCGCTCTGGACTGCCTTCCACACGTGGCTGCCTGGTGCCGCGGATGTCTGCCTCCACCCACTCAAGTGCGTGCTGCGCATCTCTGGTCGCCGCGCGGGCCGCGCCGCGGCTGTCGCTGTCTGGCTGGACGGCTGGGTCGTTCGACGCCGGCTGCGGAGCCGCTCGAAGAGTTTGCGTCTATATAGCAAGTGTCGGATAGCGTGGCGGTTGGTGGGGTCGGTTGGTCATTCGCATGTCGTTTGGAATCGTTTTGCCTGAAAGGGTCGGTCGATTCCGTAATCGGGGCAGGAGTCGCCAGGGCCCACAGGTCCCCAACGGGGCTTCAGGGCCAGGCGGCGGGTCTCTGGAGGCCATCTGAATGTCAAAATTAAGTCCTCACCACGTCGCCGTTTCCAGGTCAGCGCGTGCCCCGCTGCGCAAGCACAAAGAAACGGGGATCGGTCTCCAGTCGATCATCTCGCCAGGCAGGCGCTCTGCCCCCTTTCATCTCCTGCAAATACCAAATCCCTGCATGTTTAATACATGATTCGCACGCAGACCATGTAAAAGAACGACATGTGTATATACGTAAATATGTATAGATGTGCACCTGTGTATATGGTATATTCATGTTTATAGATCACAAACTACAAACGGGCCCGACGAATCAATCAGTCAACCAGCCAGCCAATCAGCCAGTCAGCCAGCCAGCCAGCCAGCCCGTCAAATCACCTCGGGGATGAGCAGGTCTGGGCTGCGCGAGGAAGCCTGTTTCCTTGTTCGTATCGCAATCGTCCGCGCGTTGGGCATCGTCCCTCCCCAGACCAAACCCCAGCCCGCTCCCGTCTCACAAACGGGATCTGAAGCTGAAGCGCAAACAGCCACGCTGCAGCGCGAGAGAAGCTTCCAGGCAGCAAAGCACGATGCGAGAGAAACTGTCTTTCTGCTCCGCACTGCTGGTGCCGCGTGCATCACACCATCCCTGCAAATTCCCAGACGAATCTCGCCTCACACCCGGAAGCCCCGAACTCAAGCTTACGCCCCACGCCGCTTGCGTCTGGGATGCTTGCCAGCTCGCCGCGTGCTGCACGGCTACGGTGAGCGCCCTGCCACGGACGGAGGGGAGAGACAGAGAGAGAGAGAGATAGGATTAGGTTTGGCACGTCCCCCTCCAGGCGGATTTTTTGACGAAGCAACAAATCTACTCACAAAAAAATCCAACGTAGAAACAACACAACAAATCAAATTACTCAAAATATAGTTCCAACATGATCAAAAACTAGTAGAAAACTTGTCCCATATTTTTTGGGGGCTACTGTCAAATCTTCCTCCTGTGGAGGGACATGCCCGACTCACAGACAGGGTCGGGCAGACGAGCGCCGGCGCCTCGCCCCTGCCCGAGAGACCAGGTCCCCGCGCAGCGCTCCCTGGAGACGGGGTGCCAGTCTTAGTTCGGGCATGTCCTCCTACGGGCGGATGTTTGGATATAGTTTTTTGTTCTATATATATAACTCTGATATAGTTTGTTGTTCTCTCTCTCTCTCTCTCTCTCTCTCTCTCTCTATATATATATATATATATATATATGTATGACTCCCCTGAGTATTTTGTTACTATGTTTGAAACGTCCTCCTGTAGAGGGACATGCCCGACTTCAGGCCAATCCGAGGGCGGAAGCGGAGGGTGAGCAGAGGCTATAGGCAAGCGGGCACGCTTTGCCGCTGCTCGATCACTGCTCACTGCACCGACCTTGCAGACGTGCTGCAGCGGATTTGTGCGTGGATTTCTGCCAATTCAAAACCCCGAAACGGCGAGTGCAAAACGAAGCGATTTTTGCGTGGGTTCGTTTGTCTTCATTCCTGGCCGAACGGATCCGCGCGAAACTCACAGGGCGGCCTGGCGTCCGCTCCCTGCCAGCAGCGGTCCCCGCGGGGGCGACGGCAGGGGCGCATAGCCGAGGGGCGGGCGTTGCACACCGCATTCGCCCGGGAGCCTCACCGAAAGCATGCACTCCAGATTTCGTAGGGAGGGGGTCTGGACCCTCCAAGACAAGCCATTTCAGACCTCCCCCGTGGGAGAACCCTCCAAAACATCGTCCCCAGACCCCCCCAGGCCCTCCAAGATAGCCTGGAAGAGACCCCCCCCGCAATAAGACCCCCCTCCCTTTATTACGAACTCTGGAGTACCATCGGCGCCCCCGGATGCCGTAGGGCTCGACCACGAGAAGCCTTCCCCCAGAAAGCAACCCCCTGAGACCCCAGGAGGTCGATTTTGACTTCTGGCGCGGGAGCGCAGCGCTTTTTTCATCGCGCGACCATCGGAACCCAAGAAGCCCAGGAGACACCCTGGAGGCAAGCAGGGTGTCTCCTGGCGTGGGTGTCCACTGTACATGCACTGCTCCCCCCTGGGCCATCCGCCCCTGTCGTCGCCTCCGGTCCCCTGCTGGCAGTCAAAGATCAAGGGGCCCAAGAGCACGAAAAGAAATACACACAAATAACAGGCTTCCCCATCTTTTCCAACATTTTCTAAGTTTCCGTCTTCCCGCCCAATTCCGATTTTTTTATATTTTCTTGGGGACCGACGATTAATTGTGTCTGTGCGCTTTTCCTACAGTTTCTAGGTTATCCCATATTTTCTAGGTGTTTGACTTCCCGCCCAATGCCCATATGTTCCCCTATTTTCTGGGGGACCGAGGATTCATTGTGTCTGTGTGATTCTCCCCCTCCTGAACAGTAAAAAACTACTCAAAAAATAATCCCCAGACTATTTTTGGAGTATTTTTTGCCTAATTTTTTTTATTTGGGGTATCTTTTATTTTTCGCCAGCAATACCCCTGTAGGACAGGCCCGACTGAATCAAAGAGACTGCCTGCGCGGGCCGTGGACGGCGGCGCAGCGTGGAGCGCGCGGTCGGAGGGCAGGGCCCGCGGGCCACGCGCCGGCCCGTCGTCGCTCGTGGCAGGCCCGCCGGCCCGCCTCCCGGCCCGCGCGTACGGGAGCCCGGCCTCCACCGCAGCAGTACACCCTGCGAAATGCTTAAGAAATCATGGGTTAAGAAATTCATGGTCTCAGAACTTGAATAAAAACCCAACATTTCTATCAAAATCTTAGGATTTATTACATTGCAAAGTCAAGAATAATCGAGACTCTGGACGAAAACTTAGGTTTTCTTAAGCATCGCCTGAGGTGTACTACTCGGGAGCGGTCAAGAGGGGGGCGGCCAAGAGGGGGGGGTGCAAATCATGACCGGAGGCATGTGCGCGAGCCCGGCCTCCACAGCAGCACAGGGCGAGAGCGTATAGTTGAGGGCGCGTGGATTCAGGACGCGAGGCCCTCGGAGGCCGAAGGTGAAGTCTCCTGGCCTGCGAAAACTGCCAGGGACGGGCCGCAGAGGCTGAGGCAGGCAGGGACCCGGGGGTACCCTTGAGAAAGTCGTTTGTCCTTGCTGTGCGCGTTGACTCTAATACGCTCGTGGCCATGTGCCTCGAGCGACGAGCAAAACCCGATCCGACGCAAGGTGGCATGGCGGCCTCACGCGGCGGCTTGCGCGGGCACCCGCG